GATACACCTAATATTTTTATTTTCAATAGGTGATTTTATTAAGTCTACTTAAGTAGTTAAGTAGTTCCTTCGATAGGATATTTAGTTGTATCCTACCTACTGCGCCAGTTCTGTTTTTGCTTCAATGTATTTAGTCAAAAAGTGTGTTTCGTTACGGTTGCGGCACCAAGAATGTTTATAAGCCGCGCTGTTGTAAGTGTAATCTTTCGGAAAACCGGTCCAATAAACCAACTGTAGACAAATCCTTACCCAGCCATCATCAAAGTAGCTTCCCAGACCTTGTCCTCTATAACCAGCAGAGAAGTCTGTAAGATGATCATAAGATGATCTAATTACTTATTTGGTAATTTAAATACTTTATACATAAAGATTGGTTGTGGAAATTCAAGCTTGCTGAGAGAATCATGGATGAGTTTTTAGAAGAACTAGACGTTGTTTCGCCTGTCGACGCAGAATCGGAAAAACAAGTTTTTATATTTCTATTCAGTTTTGTTGGATATTCTGCATGATAATGTACACATGACTGACAGTATTAAATTTAATAATCTACGAAAATTATGTTAAATCCATTATTTCAAAAGTCACACATCATTAAAGAAATGTACCACACATGGTTACCTACTACAATATCTTGGGTCCCTGTGCAGTAGCTGTGGAACAAGCGTTCATAATTTTATATAGATGTATGTATGTTAAATAATAGGTTGGCAAATATCTCCCTTCCGCTTTTTAGCTCTTTATTCAATGTTTTACAAAAAGTGTTACAGTGATCGGATTTAGTTCAAATATGCGCAGTTTTTTTCGATAATCTGTTTCCATCTAGACGGCAACTTCATAATACCTCCCTCGTAGAAGCCCCCCTCCTTATTTGCGAAGAACTCGGACAGCCACTTTTCACAAGCCTCTTTTGAGGTCAACTTTACACCACCAAAAAAAAGTGGTAAAGATTATACATGGTTACGAAAAGTTCATCTACTATCAGATGACACGAGGTTACTTTATCCTAATGAGGCTAATGCTAAAATATACATTTTGAGAAGTATACATAGCCAATTCAACGCCGGAGGTCAGGTTTCCGTACGTAACTTCTCTCAGAGCAATGCTAGCAAACAATTCAGCCATAAATTACCTCGAGTATTCCTCACAGCGACGGTAACAAGAAAACTCAGTCCTGCGTAATATGAGTTTTCCAACTAAAACGGTAGAAACTAGGGTGTATATCAAGTAAAGAATATTTAAATAAAATAGAAAAAAAGTAAAATCGGCCTTTTTTCAGATTACGATTCCATCCTAAAATCTTGAACATAATCTGTGGTTCTAATGGCCAGTATACTAAACGTAGAAATGTCATACATTATTTCGAACTCTTACAAACGTACATCAGCTAAGGGTGAAAGCATTTCGAAAGTGGGAGCTTTAAAACTAACTATTCGTTCCGAAACCAATACTGTAAAGGGTAGAAATCATTAAATTTAACATATATTTTACATCTATATAAAATTGTGAACGCTTGTTCCACAGATACTGCACAGTGACCCAAGATCTTGTAGTAGGTAACCATGTGTGGTACATTTCTTTAATGATGTGTGAATTTTGAAATAATGAATTTAACTTAATTTTCCTGGATTATTAATCATGCGTCATGCACAATATCCAACAAAACTGAATATAAATTTAAATTCAAACAATAATTAAATTTAAATAACAAATTTCTTTGTTATTAAAATTATAACATGACACTTTTGAAGTAAAATCTGAGTCCGTCTAATTACATAATGCCATAGGAATTATCGGGGTACATTCGGGGTAATGCAAGCCATGTGCCATTACCATGGTAGGGCAGGTATAGAACGCGCGATAACTAATAATTGAATCACGCCCCGGTAATTGAGGGTTAGTTCCTTCTATCATCTATGCCGTTCGGGGATAATTCTTGTTATATTTTGCATGTTTGACATGATTAGAGTAGAGTCAGGAAAAGCACTTACTTTTTTAAGAGAATAGTGAGTAAGGGAACATAGGAATAAGAAAACCCCGACCCCATAACCAGCGAGCTAGGCGCAGAGCGTAGCATAGTGCACTGAAACTTCGATTCCCTCTCCAAACGAGGCGGTAACCGGGAAATCAATCGACAGCCGTACCATTACATTATAGTAGGCAGAATTATTCGGAACGAAAAGGATCACTATATCATATAGCAACAAAGAAAAAATCGCAAAAAAACTCTTGGGCGATTTGTGGGCATTAGAGTAGGTGTGAAAACTTTTTTGTGGTAATGTTATGAAACAAACTTGTGCAGTGTAGGCGTCACAAGAGTTGGCATATCTTATCTTGACGTCGACGGGGCTACTGATCCTTAAGAATATATATCTAGTACAAAAGTGTTTTGTTTAATGTTCAAAAGTTTTGAGTTAAGTCCAAAAGTACATGGGTTTTATTTGTCAAATGTTCGAAATAGTCCGCAGACTGCTGCATCAGCATATGGTTTTGTTTGGCGGATGCGAAGCTGAACTTTTCGGTTCTTTAGCCGGGGCTCAGTTAAAGGCGTGGATGCTTATGGTGCAGCAGGGTAACTCCTCCATCCCCAGTTCCAAACGATGGCCATAACGAATGTATGGATGGCATTCGGTAGTTGGTGATCCTCGTGCACATAGATTATGTGATTTGTTCGCCGGTGCAGTCATAAGATTATTGCTAGAGCCATCACCAGACCGAGCAGGATGTAGTGGGTCCAGGTGTGTCATGATCGGTTCTAAATGAAGTTTTTCCCGGCTGAGCACTGCAACGAACCGATTTTTATTGGTCTGCTCGCTACGTGCGGCTAGCTCAGAAGATTCTGTGTGTTCGTCCCACAATGTTAATATTTAACGTGATCACACAGTTACCAATAACAACACTCTGCAGTTCTTGCTTCCTTGACCTTTATTTGTCTCGTTTTACACTTTGATTTGATTTTCACGGCTTGGTTTCCGCTGTCTTGTCGCTCTCTGTTCTTGTGGACTCTCGTTCTCCAATTGACTTCCAGATTCTTTTTCTCCAAACTTTTTGTCTACAGATTCTGCTTCTCCAAACTTTTTTTTTCACACTGTACTGTTACTGTAGTACAGTAACGGTACTACGATCTGATTTGTTGCGTAACTGGCAAAAGGCAGACCCTCCTTTTGCCGAAAAGTAGGCACGGTAACTTGACCATTCTTGATTACGTTTTTAATGTTAGTTAAGCCTACTATGTTAGATATTTCACCTACTGGTGGATTTTAGAAGTCAGAGTAGGGGTCGGCTTAAATTAACGTTATTTCTTAACAAAAAACTAATTTCGTCATACCTCGGGCAGCCTCATAATCCGCTGCCCAGCATCGGGGAATACTTATTTCTACCATAAGTGCCAACTCCTAGAGGATAAGTGTTGTGCTGTTGACCCAAAGAATTTTTGTACGGCCAGGAATTACAGGTGGCACCTATAAATTATTTGAAGAATGAAACTTCAGGCCAGGATAGAAGGAGGCTAAAAAAGTAATAGAAAGGGGGGTGTATGCAAGAAGCACAGATCAGCAAATCCCGAAACAAGAGTCACCGACTCATCTCATCATTTAAATATTTAAATTCTATTGAAATTCTACATACTTTTAATTTAACATTTCCTACATCGCTCCCGCTATGTAGACTGTTTGTTAAGCAGAGCAGAAAGCAAGAAGTTCAGTTTAAATTAATATTTAAGAGAAAGGTATAATGATATAGGGCAATTCCCTTTCCCTTCCTTCTTGTTTTATCATTTATCATCTTTTATTTCGCTTTAACGCGAAAGCCCGTCAATGCTGGGCCTAAGCGCAGAATTATCAAATAGAAGAAAGAAAATTTACCGCAGTAGAGAGCGGCTCAAAACAGGGGCAAAAAAAAGATAAGGCGGCACTTCTCTTCCTCACACAAACTACGTGAAGCGTTTCATCGCGGGATGCAACAGAGTGAGTTGAACAATTAAATAATTACAAATGGCCCCAATATATTTTTATAACCGTTACTCGTTCAGTAAAAAAAGGTTATACTAGATTAGTTGAGAAGCATGTAACAGGTAGAAGCAAGTATTTCCGACTTTGTAAAGTATATATTATATTATAAAATTCATGATCAGGATCAATAGTCATGTCCGTCCGTCTGTCTGTGTGTCCGTATTAACGTCGAGATCTCCGAAACTATAAAAGCTAAAGCTCTACCGCCCACAAACCGCCCAAAACTGCCACGCCCACATTTTTGAAAAATGTGTTATTTTTCACTTTTGAATATATCTTGTAAATTTTTATAGATTTGCCAAAAAGAAATTTTGCTACGCCCACAAACCACCCAAGGCTGTCACGCCCACAATTTTTAAAAATGTTGCAATATTTTTTTCCCTTTTTTATATATCTTGTAAATTTCTATAGATTTGCCAAAAAACTTTTAAAAAAATGTTAAGCTTTATTTTCATTTAATTATTTTTTCCCAATTTCTACCGATATTCCAGAAAATTTTGATATTTCTCATTTGCACTAGCTGAGTAACGGGTATCTAATAGTCGAGAATCTCGACTATAGTATTCTATCTTGTTTTAAATAGTTTATATTTTGAATTGATCAAATTCGTATTCTTATAATCAGCAACTGTTCGTATTTTATACACTCTGTTTTTTTTTAACATATAATCACTGCAAGGGTATAAAAACTATGGCTTGCCGAAGTCAGATTCCTTCATTTTTAAATTGATATAATTACAAACATATATAATTTCAATATATTTATTGAAAATGTACTTAATACGGAGACAGTCTATTCGGAGTGATACGTTTATCACAAACGATAAACGGTAGTATTTGCTTTATAAACCGTTGGCCCATTTATGTACGTGGTAGTATAAGTTCTTTACTTTTTTGAAATTGAACACAAATTTTTAATATTTAAAGTTTTATCCCTTTTTCTTCATCATCATATCTATGGAAAAAATGACATTTGATTTTTTACACCTAACAAGCATTTTATGAGTTTTTTCCAGTTTCATTTCAGGTTTCGGATTGTTAACATCTCTCAAAAAAACACAAAAAAATTTTAAAAATTGTAAAAATTTTTAAGGAAAGCCAAGTTAAATATTTTTTTCTAAATTTGTAGCAATGGAGTACGGAAATAGTATGCAATACGATGGTTATAACCAAGGTGGTGAGGTAAGTATACAACAAAGTTTTTATTTATGCGCAAAGAATTTTTGCTTTTAAAGGGATTTGAAATGTTCTACAACCCAACGAGCAATGGAAATGGATATAGCCAGCAGCAGAGTAATTGCGGACAAGGGTCTACAAATTTTAATGGCGGTTCCGCATCTCTTGGAGGTCCTGGGTACCGCAGTCCCTTACGATACACAAAAATGCTTCGTGAAATGAACTCTCGAAACGGGCTTTAGTATGTATATCTACAATGTATTCCTGGAATTGATGTATCCGTTTTTAGCTCTCCAATGGAACAGCAGCGGAGCAGTGGCCAAGGTGATTACTATAATACCTTGCCTGGACTTGGCGGCTCAGAAGGTCAAGCTTACCAATCGCGAGGCAATGGAAACCCGTACTTATAAATTATTAAGCCCATACAGTTCGTAGAAATTGTTAGTAAAATTTTTTGGTAGCAAAGCAAACATTTTTTGAAATGTGTAAATTATTATTTATTTCAATTGATTGATAGTTCAATTGATTTCGTTCCGATAAATCTCAGTGCTGCGACTTTGTTGTGCTTTTCTTTAATGTGAATTTTTTTTTTTGCCACGTTTACCTGCCATCACGACATCGCTTGCCGGTATATTGATGACGAAGTAAAGGAGACTAATGGGAAAAAAGAGAATGCTCTAGGCGAGAGACTATCAGATACCACTTACTCAGCTAGTGGAAGGGCCAACGAGAAATTTCAACATTTTCTGCTACGCCCACACTTTTTTTAGTCCTTTAAATTTATATCGATTTGTCAGGAAACTTCTTGTCATTCCCGTTACTGGTAGAGTAAAAGGGTATACTAATTTTTAATTCTATTTTTAGGTTTTTATGCTCTCAATTTTACGCGACAGAAATTATTGCCGCGACCAAAAAAGTGGCTGCATAGTGCAAAATCAATTGTCAGATTCTATTACAATACAGAGTATAACCCTCGTTCCCGCCCACATACGACCGCACTCGCTAGCATTTACACAAACATTTTTTTTTGCCCGGTACTCGTAGAGTAATGAAAACTATATAACAGGTAAAGGTAGGTGTTTCCGACCATATAAAGTATATATGTTCTTGATCACGATCAATAGAGTCGATCTGGCCCTGTCCGTCCGGCCGTATTAACGCCCTGATCTCAGGAACTATAAATGCGCAATAAATGTTGATCCCATCTTTAGTATTTTCTGTGCTGGTCTTTAAAGCATCAGTGGTTTGCTTTTGGTATCCTTCAGCGGATTGCTTGGGGTACAACTAATTTGTTGCCGTTGGTCGTTTTGCGTAGAAGTCTACTCGCTTCAACGTAGTCTGCTTTTACTTGAACTCTTCTCCTTTGTTCTGAATACTTCAAATATCTGTGCCAGTATTGGGTCTTGCTTTTGCATCGCATTCATCCAATTTTCATCCGTTGGTACAATCGTCTGCTACTGTGTGAGATTCTTCTCCGCGTGGTAGCGTTGGTTGTCTACTCATGCCATCCACGTGTGGCACATCCGCTGCTGGTCGATTTTTACAAGTGAAATCTAACTCTTGTAGTTTGATCCACCATCTTGCTATTGGTGGCTGTAGCTCTGTTGATTCCTTCAGAGTCACCACCGCTTAACAATCTGTCACCACCAGAAAAGATCCCAGTAAATATATACGGAATCTTTCTAGTGTCTCCGTAATTGATAATATTTCTAGTATACTCGAATCAGTGTGTACATCATGATATATCGTTGGGTCGTACAGGGTCAACACCGGCTTCAATGCTAAGGCTTCCTTTTGTCGTTGAAACGCCTGTTCCTGATATTTTCCCCATACGAACTCCACATCCTTTTTCAATAATTTGCTCAATGGATAAGCAATCATTCTGTACTCCTTGACAAATTTTCTGAAGAATCCTGTAATTCCCAGGAATCTGAGTACTTCTGTTTCATTACTTGGCCTTTGATATTCGTGGTGCACTCAGTCTTCTCGTTGCCTGGCTTAATCCAATTACTCGTGATAACATGACAAGGTCACCTTCGTTTTTATAAAAGCGCATTTGGATGGGCGCAGAGTTATGCCCGCCAACTTTACAGCATACAGAAATTCCTTTAATATAATTAGTCATTCTTCGACCGTCTTAGATGCAATTATGGCTTCGTCCACATAATTGATAATACTCCGTTGGTGTTTCAGTTCTCGTATGATCTCCGTAATGACTTCTTGGAAGACCATAGCTGCATTTAGTCCAGCTTTTCTCGTCCATCGGTACCTGGTAGTAGCCAGAGGTCAGCGTCGTAAAGTATATGTTTCCGGATAGCTTTGCCAATTGCTCCTCTACTATTATGGTAACTGCGCCTAGAGCCCGATAGTCCACGCACAGCCTCCGTTCGCCGTTTGCCCTTGGCGCCAAAATTGCTGATGCTGCATGCGTTGACTTGCTTCTTTTAAATTTTCCGTACTTCAGTAAGTCGCCAATTATCATGTTCATTATCCTTCTTTGGGCAAACGGCACTTGATATCGCCGCTCCAAGATGGCATTTTTAGTGAATACCTCTATATCCACCGTCGCCGTTTTGCACCTGCCAATTTTTGGCAAAACATTCTTCATAGCGTTTTAACAGATCGCTCACCTGTTCCTGGTCGGGGTCAAGGTCCGTATTAACATTAAACCCGACCCGATTCTTCGGAAACCAGCATTTCCTGATCGTAGCAAATGACATCTCTGCCCACCATGATATCATATGGTAGGACTTCGTTTGGTACCACCAGAATTTGTGTGAACAATCTCAGTTTGCCACAGACAAACTTTGATAAGATGCACTCCTTTGATTCTGCCACTGCTGCTTCTTTAATGAGTGTGTTATCGCTGCCCGTGTCGATGAACGCTTCAAGCTTTTGACCTCCAATCAGAACTGTTTTCATTATTGGTGGATACTCCTTATGTTTTGACTCATGCAACCGTTGATGGTTATTTCACCTTGCAATCCTTTTCATTATGCCCAATCCTAGAGCATTTTGCCGCAAAGTGGCAAAATTATTGCAGTTATAACATTTAATTGCTTTTATTTTGCCATCAGCATCGTTGTTTTGCTTTTCGTTCTATTGTTTTTGCTGTATACCTTGTGCAGATCTCAGATTTTCCAAGGACTTTAGAAGCTCTGAACAAGTGCGTATGTTCATTAAATTAAGCCTGTTGATAATATATTAATTTATCGATGGCTCATCAATACTTGCACGCCGTCCGATAGATACCATCGCATAAAAGTATTCGATTCGAGTGACTTGCTGTGGCGTCGCTTGCGTTGCAACAATTCTCTGTGCACATCGGCGGTATTCACCACACTTGGAAAATAGAGCGCGAATGCCGATTTGAATTGATCCCATGATCGATATACCTGCTGTACATCCAGCCATGTTTTTGCAACCTCCATCATCTCATGTTGCACTGCAAACAGCACAGCATCACTTGTCCACGATATGCGGTTTGTAGTTGCTCTACCTTTGCAATGAATTGATCCGATGAATTAGATTCCTTGATTGGATAAAACTCCGGAAGAAACTTTGAACTTGAGCTTCTAGCTGTGGCGATGAGCGCACACATTCCCTTTGCGTCTCGATTGCTGTGTGTGTGTGTGTCTCGATCCATCCGGCGTCTCGCCTGTTGCCCGTACGTGTGCCGGTGGCGAGTCCACCGTCCCTTGCCCTTGACCATGTTGCTGCGTGCACGCCGTTTGGACCATCGTTCCCGGCTTGCCACCATCTCCTTTAAATCATTGATTTGAGCTTGCATACTTGTGTTTGCGTATTCTTCCAATATTTCGTAGTCGTCAGTATCAATTTCATCATTTCCTAGTTTCGTTATCAATTCGTTGATCCTTGCCGGTTTGTTTCCCTTGATTTGGTGATCATGAGCCCGCAGGATCATGTTCAAATCACTAATCTTTAAGTTTTTTAACTCTACATCCATTTTTCTGAAAACTTTTGCTTGTACAAGTTAATAAAACATAAATTCAAGTCACCTGACACCCACTAATGTGCAAACACATGTTCTACATGTGAAGTGCAATGTACTTGACCAAAATGCTGATCCATCCGCTCCACAAATAATAATAATGCACTTGCCCAAATTGCTGATCTAGCGTCGCGTCGCACTTCCGCGATTCATCAGCAACGAGGCTTCTGGCCTCGCGGCCCTGGCGTAGACACTGTTTTCTTAGGGCCAGGTTAGGGTATAATAACTCAGTCTTAAAACCATAATTAAATAAACCATAAATAAAATAAAGAAAACATTTTTTTTTATTAAAAATAAATAATCCGTCTTTTTTAATTTATATAAGTACACGCGAATGTTTTATTACCAAAGAAAGGTCCTTAATAAATAAATTAAAAAGGAGCGGACCAAGGTGGCTTTCTTGTGGGACGCCGGTTGTGACTCGGAGAATACAAGAAACAGAATTTTTAAAGAGGATCCCTTAAGATAACTTAAAATGCATTAAGAAGATCAACACTGAAACCTAATAAATCAAGTTTACTAACCAAGTGAATGAAATCAGATCTTACAGATCGTACACGTTACAACAGGGCTTCCGCATAGAACCTAAGCACACAGCCAGGAATTCCGTCGGGACCTGGCGAATAGACAGATTTAACAGGCTGAAGATCGTAAAGCATTGTGCTTTCGTTTAAAGTGAGACAAAATATTACATTCGATTTCGATGCCGCGTAAGAGTAAGGCTGTTCGGAATGAGGTAACGTAGAGTATGTTGTTAAAAAAAACTGGGCAAATAGATAGGCTAATGCCTGATCCAATGTAACTGTAGTATTTTCAAAAAATAACGAAGAAGGGTAAGAAATCGTTCTGTGCTTAGTGTTAAGGAAGTTATGGAACGGCTTAAATAGTTCTTGTTCACTGAGCATTAAGCAGTGTCAAATTTAACAGAGCACTTAAATATTTAGAAAAGATAGACTGAGAACCGATATCTTTAAATTTCGAATAAAGTCTGGACTTAAAGTCTGTTAACTCTTTATTAAACCAAGAAGGTTTGTTGGAGATAGACGGATAGTACATCGGAACAGAAGAGCTACAAAATTTGATTGCGGTATAAGAAATATTTATGTCATCAATGTATAAAATTATTTAGGCTCAGAAAGTTAGCCTTCCAAAAACAATGAATTCGTCTGGTTGACTTCTCTGATTTCTCTTTCATTGCGGTACCTTTGTCGATTGTCACCTGAATCTTCAGGTTGAGTAAGAGGTGCTCCTCTGGACAGAAACATTCTTCAGGACTTGTTACAAGACATTGATCCAATAATCGACCAAGAGAGTTTCGAATATAATAAACTTGTGATAACGATAGGTCGAGCAAGTCGTTAATAAAATGTTGTGCTATAGGAAGAAAAATATTCGATTTTTCTTCTGTGGACCGCCAGCTGTGATTTGATATTTGATACGATTTAGATATTCCAGGAA